GCACGGGAACTTCAACGTTCTTGAGTTCTCCGTGCTGCAGAAAACGGGTGCTTCAATTTTTTTTTTTTTTTTTCGAAATTTGCTAGATCTATTCTTAAACACGTGTTTTTACCTAAATTGGAATTGAAACTAATTAAAAGTAGTAGGAAATCGAAAACTTACCGGAATCGAGCCTCGTTTGTACGGTTTGAATGTCGAAAAAAATTTACGAAATTCAAATTTCTAGAGAGTGTTTGGGAGTAGGAGAGAGAATTTGCAAGTTGGAAAAATTAAAATGAAAAAGCTACCGCTGCAAATAAGCCAATTTCAGTAAAAGTACCGCAGCAAATAGTAACACCCATACATTAAATGAGAGCAATAAAATAAGGTACAATAAATGTTAATTGATTTGACAAAAAATATTAAAAAAAATAAACACTGCATAATCTAGTGTATCATTAGAATACAAAAATGAATGACAACCATCCTAGATTGTGACTCCAAGCCCGAACGTACGACATTGCGCTCTGTTGGTCCCTTCGACCTTACACCTAGTGATAAAAGTCGATTCAGTGATAAAAGTCGGACGAATCTTTTGCTGACACACGTATTTTTTTTTTTTGTATTTATCTAAAATTCTTAGGGCTCGTTCAATTACCGATATAAGGTTTTATTGACTAAATAGTAGGGGCTAATAACATGTTTTGTTGGCAAGATTCACATTTTTTCAAATCCACTACTAAAATCAAAGTCCGCTATTAATGCTACTATTTCATTAAATTAGTAGCACCCTCCCCTGAGATTAATTTTATAGGGGTAACTAAAAAGGGAAAATACAATTTTATCATTAAAATCACATTTTATTATTGTAATCTAAGTGGTTTTATAGGCAATTCATATATAATAACTGATTTAAACAGATTTGATACAAAATCTAATCTAAGAAATCGAACATGCTACTAACTAAATAATTAATAAGTCAGTAGAGAGTTAATCCAATCTCATGTAATTCAATCTAATCCAATATAGGTAATCGGACGAACCCTTATAAATTAACTTAAATAGAGATATATAATAAATAATTAAAGATAATACGTGTTAGCAGAAAATTCATCCAATATTTATTATCGAGTGTAGGGTCAAAAGAACTACGCCGCCGATGATTCATTCAACAAATTTCTCAACATAATAATCTTCATCATCAACATTATAATTTATATAATTTTATTTCATCATTTATAAATCATCATCAACATTCAACACTACAATACACAATATATGATGGATGCCCGATTCAGACGATAATTCAATTTTGCTAGAGTATCAATCAATCAATACCTTATGAAATCTAATAATATCCAGCAAAATTAAAATAAATAAATAATCAAGAACATGAAATAAATCAGAGTATAAGAAACTCACTAACTAAAGTTTCCCAAGTTCTTGAATAAAAATAGCCGAAAATGCATTCAATATCTTCTCAGATCTGGACAAACCAATCTCCAAGCCACCTTCGAAATCCCTGGATTTACATAAAGACATAGAAGTATCCCCATCAATTGAAGCCGATTCGAATTTCTTCGGCCTTCCCCACCCGTAATCCACGTCGTATAGATCGAATCTCGGAGATCCCGCCACCCCGAATAGCCGTTTCCCGATCAGTTTACCGAATTCAAGCGGCCAATTCTCCGCCCCATGGAGAATTCCCTTCTCACCATACACCCTCTTTTGTATTGCTTCCCCCGTGCACTCGGCTGCAATGACAAACCCACCATCTCCTTTCAGTAGTCCGTGTTTCGACTCGGCCTTCACGAAGGCCAAACAGTTTCCAAAGTACGCCGCGGGTAGCGGCGCATTCAGCCGCCCGCGGCAGTCGGCGGCGAAGCAGAAGAACTCTGGCTCGTCGTCGGCTACCGGGGTGGCGGCCTCCGCCGCCTCTGCTTTGACGAGGCAAACCCAGACCAAAGCGCAGGCGACGGTGAAAGAGGTGGTGTTCATCTCCGGCCGTTTTTGGTGTGCGAAGTTTTTGAGCTTCTGGACATCGTCTTTGGTGAGGATGAATGTCCGGCGGGATCGGTTGAGAGGGAACGAGATCGGCGGCGACTCGACGGCGCGGGATCTCTTGATTAAGTTCCAGTAGATCGAATCCAGGCCCTTGGGATCCTCCACGGCGGTCCTGTCGTAGTACGGCCGTGATTTATCGTCGATCTCGCCGCCGAATCTGTTGACGGAGGCCCAGGCTCTGATGAAGCGGACGATGCTGCTGGCGTCGGCGATTGCGTGGTGGTTGGTGAAACCCAGACAAACGCCGTGGTCGGGGAAAAGTGTGATTTGCAGGGCTAAAACAGGGAGCACAACGTGGTCGTCGGAGGAAGAATGCTTCGGCGGCGGGAGGTGGGGGACGCAGGCGTAGAACTCATCGGAGACGCGGGCGTGGTTTCCGGTGAGGTGGTTGAAGTCCTTGTCGCACACGGCGACGGTGAGGGAGACGGAGTCGCCGGCGGTGAATCGGGAGAAGGGTCTGCCGCCGGAGTTGAGAGGGTGGACGATGTTTCCGGCGAGTGGGAGGAAATGGTTTAGGGTTTGGGAGAGTGATTGTTTCAATTGAGGGACGATGGTTTCGAGAAACAGAGGCTTAGAACAGGGGAAATCGTAGAAGAGGAGACGCTGCACTGGGTGGAAGTAAAGCCATGTTATGTCGAAGTGGAGAAGGGGCAGAGTTATCTCCGCCGCCGCTGATTCTAGCGACGGCTCGATATCGCAGCGGTCAATCACGGCGGCGGCGGCGGCGGACATCGGATTTTCTGCCATGGAAATAGACCTGTTAAACTTTTTTTAAGGAACAGTATTTTGGAAAAGATGAATTTAGAGAAAAAAGATGATAGTTCTTCGGAATTATATAAAAACAAGAAACACGCAAAAAAAAAATTTGACGAGGAATGGAAATGTTCAAAGTTGACGTGGGTGTTTGTTGAACCGGAATTGTTTTGGTTTTTTACTTTGTTATAATTTATAATAAAATATTTAGTGTAGGTCACCATGCTATTATTTTATTCAACTATTATATTGTCCCACTAATCACTATAATATTCTATATCCAAAGATAAGTACTACAAATTGTTGAATTCCACCAAGTATTTTTGGTGCCCGTACCCCACAACCAGGTGCGGAACCAGGATTAAAATGTAGGGGGCTAACTAAAATTTCGGGGTTCAGGGCAGCGTCCCTAATTTTTTTTTAGGTTCACAAGACATTGCAAAAATAAGTTTATATTTATAAGTTTTAATTAAAATGGCATATATATATATTATAATTTTATCATAATTTAAGCATGACAAAAAAAATTAAATTAATCCAAATTATTTTAATAATATATCGTACTTATATTTTGGGGATTCATGGCATTGTATCACATTACTTTATAGAGTCTTTTGATAAAAAGAAAATCAAAAATAAGTAAATATTCATAAATTTTATTTAAAATAATACAAGTTTTAACCTTTTTATTTTATATTTTTAAATATGAAATATAATATAATATAATATATATATATATATATATATATATAAAATTATGGAGAAGAAACAAAAAAGTTAAGGATTAAGACACATATTTACAAAAATTTTAGGGGGCTAAAACAATAAATACAATGCCCAAATACCTAAAAAAAAAAATTATCTTGGGGGGTCAACAGCCCCCCCTAGCCCCTTCTATGTTCCGCCAGTGCCCACAACGAATCAATCCTTATTGGTGGAGCAAGGAATTCGAGACAAGGTGGATTTAATTTTTACAGGGCTCCGGGGGCAGAATCCCCGAGATTTTATTTTTGTTTCATTCGTATAAAGTAGCACAAAATTTATAAATTTTAACTAAGAACACATAATTTTTTTTGGTGGATAGGTGAAATTAAATTACTTGATTGAGCTAATTTAAATTATTTGGGTGGGTTAATTACATATAGCTATAGTATTTTATATAAAAAAAATTGAATCCACAGCCCTTGCCAGAGGGTGGCTCCGCCACTGTTGGTAGGTGTGCAAGTTGGAACGGAATTTCTATTTTCCGCATGTTCCGATATTGGAACAACTTTTTTCATTATGACTTCCGAAGTTTCGAATTCTGATTTTTTCCGACTTTTTTGGATTGGAATTGGAATTATATTAAATAAATTTGGAATTTCCAATTTCCGATCCGATTTAATTCCAAAAAATTCCAATTTCCGATCTGATTTAATTCCAAAAAATTCCGATTTTTTTCCAAAAATACACCTATAAATAATATATATTATATAATACTTATTTTTTAGAAAAATACACCTATAAATTTTGTTTTAAGATTTTGACATTTCCACAATTCACCTAAAATTTGTAAATTATAAATTTGTAAATATTTCAAGAATATATATTTATTGTATTCCAAAAAAAATTATAGCGTAATAATCTTAAGAAACTCCGTCGCACGCCGCCTCCAAAACTGAATTCGAGGGCCAATCCCACTTGTAGAGGATTAAATTTGATGCCAAAATTAGGCGAATGGATTTATTTGCCCGTACAAAAATTCAATTTATTTTCTATTATGAAGAAGATGATTGCATGATATTTGCTGGTTATTTTGGTATATTTTATAGTTCAGAGAGATGTTTGATACGGATATCATAGTTTAGGAGTGCAAACTGATTTTTCCTCTAGCTTGTATATCTTTTAGACATAACAAATCATTCATAATGCACCTCAAACTGATTTTTCTAAGAAAAGGTTATCAATGGAAATCTACAAATTCAAAATATTATTTATCTCCACCCTTGGACCTAATTTGACACTTATAAAGTGCAAAGAAAAGTTAATTCACTAAATTACTTCAAAACAAAATCCCGTACAAAAATAAATTATCCTCATAAATTAGGTCAGTCGGATGACGTAAATACCAGTTATCGCCGCTTAAAAAATTAATCGTCTTTCTTTGTTGAATAAAATTAAAATTAGCGCTCTCGAAAAAACTCTATTTTTTCAGAAGTGAAAAACTAATTCCAATTACAATCTTAAAAAATGAAAAATAAAAATAAAAAATTTATGAAACTAAAACAAATCTCCAAAATCTTAAATGGTTTGATCATAATCGACAAAATTTCAAAATTTTCTCTTACCTATAATATAAAATACATAATAATAATAAGGATATTATAAGTCTTTTAAATAAATTGATTTTTTCATAAATATTATTGGAAATTAAAATTGGATTGGAATTCGGCATCTAATATGTATTTCAATTTCATTAAAAAAAATTTGGAAAAAAATGAAAATCAGAATATTCGAAATTCATAAATATTGTTAAAAAATCATAAACATTTAGATCGAAATAAGCAGCGTTCAAAAATTATGTTTCAATTTACCCACTTAATTTAGAAGATCGAAATAAATTTATGATGTATTTTTTATTTTAATTTAAATTGAAAGTTATATTTTCTAAATTATTATTATACTTTATTATTCCATTCTTATAGAATAAAGAAACATCCCCAATCCACCGAAAATATTAAAATAATTGAACTTTTGAGTGACAATATATATTTGGGTAATGATATACGCAGGCCAAATTAAACATTCAGGCACATTTTTACCATGATTTTTTACCTTTTTACCATAACTATTTACCTTTTGTACTATTCATATGCACAAAATCGGACTTTTTTTTATTCATGTGCTCGTGTGAATTTACGCGAGCACTTGGCAAGTGCTCGTGTGAATTTACGCGAGCACTTGGCAAGTGCTCGCGTAAATTCACGTGAGCACATTAACAATTTTTTTTTTGTTTTAACCCACTCGTGTGATTTCACACGAACAGAGAAGATATGCTCGTGTGAAATCACACGAGCAGAACGTCTCTGTACGTGTGAAATCACACGAGCAATTAAAAAAAAAAATTTTGTACTATTCATATGCACAAAATCGGACTTTGCACTTGCCAAGTGCTCGCGTAAATTCACACGAGCAGGCCAAAGTCCGATTTTTTTCGTTTTTTTTTTCGGATTCGTAATCTACATAACAAGAGGATCGTAAAAACGTAAAAATTATCTCCGATCTGTTGACGATTTGCACGGGCTTTGCGAAAGAAAATCGAAAGGGTAGAGAGAGTTTTTGAGTTTTATAACTTTTGTTTTTTTGAGAAATGGTAAAAAATGTGCCTGAATGTTTAATTTGTGCCTGCACAAATCATTTCAATTAGAGAAAAAATATTGTCATTCATTTTGTCATTAATACGGTATGACTTCTACATAGTGACAATAAAAAGTGATCGTAGTTTATGTCTAGTGACAATATAAATGATTATGTGACAAGAAAATGAGCTATTATAAGTGACAACATACAAAATGTTTATATTGTCACAACCATTGTATCACTAATGTCATTTTTCTTGGAGTGATAAACATAAAATATCTTAACAATATATATTCATTTCAAATATTTATCCAGAAAAATAATAAAGTTCTAATAAAATTGAAAAATCTAATTAAATTAAGAAATTAAGAAAATTTACAAAAAAATACAACATCGAGTTGCACACTGATTATAATAGACCTCGTAGGTTTGGGGAATAAAACATTTATGGAATCATAATCCAATTTTTCAGTGATTTTAATAATTTTTTTTTCTTTTCTAAAATAACAAACACGAACTTTTGAACTCTAAACGACATTGAATCGCCGAAATGTGACATAATGCATGAGTTTCGGTGATGAGGTTTTTCTCTTATCTTTTTTAAATTTGGAATTTTAATAAAATATTTAGAGTTTTCTCTATTTTTCTGGTGGATTCCAGAGTTTTCGGTGGATTTCGAATGTTATTTTGTTCTATAGGATTAATTCGTAGAAATTAATTATTTACCGTGCATCCGTTCTGCGTCACTTTTGCTTGAGAAAAAAAAATTGTTTCAAACTCAAATACTAAAATTGTCCAAAAAACTCCAATTTTCTCTAATTTTAATTTATGTTTCCACAAGCTTGTGCCAATTAACAATCATTTTTTAATCATTCTAAATCAATTTGATGTCCACATCAATAAGAAACGTAGTAAAAGTCAATTGCAATTGTGCATTTGTGCTTCTGGTCGAATTGTTTAGATAGTTGAAATTATTGATTCTATTGTTGCATTTACAATCCGTTTTCTTCATTATACCAACCCAAAACTAATAATAATAATAATAATAATAATAACAATAATAATAATAATAATAATAATAATAATAATAATAATAATAATTGAAGAAAATAATAATAGGCAACCTCTTTTTTTTTTTTTTTTTTTGGTCACAATTGAATAAAAAGTTGTACTTAAATTAAAATAAAGTAGTATTTGAAAAGTCTAATAAATAATTTGTTCATTTGTTTTCACGAGGGCTGCTATAAATTAATATGTGGTCTGAAGCACGTAGAAATGGCACATCTATCGACAATTAGCACTTATTTTGGTCAGAGTCAGTACCAACTACCCAATTGAGAATAAAATATCATAAAGTGATGCAAAAGTTTTGTTTTCACCAACCCCCCACCACCATCTCTCTTCACGCCAACTACCAAACAACAAAGGTTGACCACAATTGTCGTTGAATTAATGGTTTAATCACATTTTTCACACTTAAAGTATAGCATATATAGTACTTGTCCTCCTTAAGTTTTTATTTGTAACACTTATTTCTCGAGCAGTATTTAATTTGTATTTTTAAATTTTAAACATAATAATAGCTCCTTAAATTCCATTTAATTTGAGTTTTAAATTTTAAATGACCATAACATCATTATTGATGTGCCTAATTA